ATTTTCTTCCAACTCAAGCCATTTTTCAACAGCATGTAGAGCTGGAACGGATGATACAGAAAGAAATGCAGGGTTTTTTGCAGACAAACAATCCTACAAATGCTGTTGCTGCAGAACCAAACAGATTCTGTGGTCTGAAAGCTGAGCCAGGCTTTAAACAGAAACACTAGAGACAGAGAAAAGAAGCAACACTCCAATTATTCACGTGACTCCAAAAGAAAAGACAAGCTAAAAGAGACAGAGAAATTAGGGGGTTTTTCCACCTTACCCGAAATCGTCCAGGGAATACATGTCACTGAAGAAGACAGTCCAGTCCTCAAGCAAAGGATGAAAGGAGGTATAAAGGGGGTGGGGGGATTATGGAGGAGAGGGGGAAGTGTCAGCCTGAGAGGAGAGAGCGGTACACATGCTGTCCAACGCTGAAACAAACTCAACCTTTTCCCTTTTTCACATCCTCTAAAAAAGATAGGAAAAATAACAATCCACTACGCCAACAGAGCAGACAAGACTGAGACACAGGGAGTGTGGGAGGGAAGGAGTGAGAGAGAGAGATGAGGAGTGTTGCAACAGGAGTAAGGGAATGCAAGAGAGAGAGAGGGAAAGAGAGAAGAGACGCGCACGAGCGACTACGGGAGAGAGAGAGAGAGAGAAGACCATGTGACCAAGGCAGACCAGTCACCTCTCTCTGCTCTGAGGATTGGAGTGCCGTCTTTCAACCTCCAAGGAATCATTTCCACTCGATGGAAATTACATGTTAGGCTATATGGGAAACAGGAGTGCTTTTACAACCCGCCTTCCTATAGCGTGTAAAAGTTCAGTAAGAGAGTGAAGCTTTAAATAGATTCTACAGCAGCTGAATTAAAAAAAAAATGTATGTAAGCCATAATCCCTAATCATCAATTAACTGCAGAGTGAGGAAACATACAGCAACACACCAGTTCATTCATTCTTAAAAGAACACAACATTAAAGTGCACTGTGGAAACAAATGTAATGATTAGTGTTATATTCGAGCAACAAAGGGTTTCATTCATCCAGTGTAACATTTGTGGTTTCCTTGTGGCTTTATCAGAATTTGTCCTCAACTGGTGGTCCATCTGGCAGAAGCAAACTTAGACTATTAAGCTTCTTTGCCACAGCAAGCCGAGGTGTGGGAAACAAACAAAGAGCAATCTAGTCCACTAAAAGATTAGGAGGCTTTGTGGGTTTAGAAAACAGTAAGAAACATATAACAGACTCAAAAATGGAGCCTTGAATTCAGTGAAATAAAATATAATCTTTTCTAAAACAGGGCTTGTATGAAATAGGAAGAAATATGCATCAGAATCAGTGTCTGATAAAGCTACAGACTTTGTATGTATTTCGGCAATGTATGTTCCAGGCCAAACTGTGACTCAGAACTACAGAACATACACTACACTGTGACAATGAGGTCAAACTGTAGGATGCTGTAGGATCAAAATCCTGTGGAGTGAGAGAGAGAGAGAAAGAACAAATACCTCGCTTAAGTGTAAATGTATTTCACAATGTGCGGGGGGGTCATCTGATACGGCGAGTTTGACCTCCATCAAGCCAAAAGGTCAGATTCATCATCAAATCTCAAACAACAAAAAGCTTATGGGATATGCCTGAAATCATAATATGAAGAGTATATGTATAGTGGTTTGTGGTGCAGAGCAGAAAATGAAAAGATAGAGGCTGGATCACATGGTATTTGTATTTAATGCAGAAAAAACAATGCGTCAAATGGAGATAATCTTTATTAGTAGTTCTTAACTTTGTTGTCATGTGCCCCTCTAAAGCAAAACAAAACGTCTACTTGTGAGTTATCACCACCGCTTCAGATTTATCTGAATAATTTTTAGGGGCCTGAAGAGATAAAACAGTTATCATTTTGTGTAGGATGAGTGTGTTTTTCCCACTTTTAAATCTTCTCGCAACCCCCTCAGATTTATTTTGTGACCCCTTAGGGAGTCTCAACCCCACCATGACCCCCAGGTTGGGAAGCAGTTAACTAGAAAAATATGCAAATATGAATTTTGTTTTTCTCTCTGTTAATGAAATGGTCACATGACCATACAGTTGTGGACAATGCAATATACTTCACTGATCAATTACTGCTGACACCTACAGGAGGTAGACAAAACAGGCTGTAATTCTGAAGAAACTAAATCCCAGTTCATTGCTACAAAATTAAGAGTGCATGTCACTATTTGTTGAATGAATATTGTAAATATATATAAATGTTGGTTAATCCACTGTTTGTCTTTGTTGATGCAGTTTGTCTGCGTTTGGCATGTGTTTTTTGTCCGATGCACCTGCAGATAATTTGACCCATTTCAAGGTCTGTTAATTGTCTCATTGTGTAAGGTGTAATTTAAGTCTGCAGTAGGGCTGCACAATTAATAAAAACATTATCAAAATATGGCAGAGTGCAATATGCAAATTGAAGAATCAATATTCAAATTACAAGAACTGCAATGTTTTAATAAACGTAAAATGTGTGACAAAACAGCATTATAATAGTTAAGTAGTAACTATAATAATGTACTGTAGTAAAGTATTGTAGTGCTGATGCCCTGGCTCACAAATCTTGTTGAAGAAGAAAACATGTTTATTTGGTAAAATCTAAAAATTTCAAAATCAATTGCAATATGATGTTTTTTATCATATCATGCAGCCCTTGTCTACAGCAACAATAGCAGGTCTGTAACAACAAACTGCCGATGAAGACAGGTCTCACAATAGCAATGCTGACATGCTGTTGTTTGCTATCCATGTTCACCATCTTAGAATAGCTTGTTAGCTGCTAAATGGCTACTTAGCACTAAACACAAAGTACAGGTAATGCAGAGGGGGCTGTTGTTCTGTAGGTATTTAGTCATAAACCAAATAAAGATTTTAACCTGGTGGTAGTGCAAGATAAAAAAGTGAGAAATTGGTAATCTTGTTTACATCTTAGCCTTTTTTTCCCTTTCCCCTGTTACTAACTACCCTCCCTGAAAGGCTGGAGTAACACTACATCATCCCTGTCAGTGATGTGTTGTGGCTGTACGTGGTTACGCTCGCTCACGTGGAGCTGCTCTCTGATCAGCTCGGAGGGCAGCAGCAGCCTGCAGTAAAATGCATAACTCAGCATTTTACCTTCCACTGGCTGAACTCGCTCATTCTACCTTTCCTATGATGAGTCACCACAACAAAGCGCTTCAGAAATCATCCTGCATTAATACTACACGACGGACGCCTCGCTTTTTATCCGCTTCCACTGTTTCTCTCCTAATCCACTCTACCAACGCACACACACACACACACATAAATGACAGCAGCTAGTCCTACAAGGAGAACAGAGAGGAAGCATCCTACAATGAAACCACTACTGGACTAAAAATAACTCTCTCACACACACATTTATGAGTATGTGCATGGATATGGTCATGCACATACATAAATGCACGTGCACTCTTACATAAGTGCAGCAAAGGAAGCGGTGATGCTGAACAAATTATCACTGAATTTCATTTTTTTTTTTTTTTTACTGTAGGTCTTGTTGTTGCTTCGTGGAGATTTAAGACTTCCCTTCTGGGCTTGAGTCAAAGAACAGATCTGCCTCTGGCAAAAACAAACACACAGGATGGGACACAAGCCGCACAGCTTTACAGAAAAGAGGAAACGTTGTGTTCATCCAACTGGACTGGAAGATATGAATCTTACATGTTTATACTGTCTGAGAGCAAAATAGTTCGGCTACCGGCTTAGAGTTGTGTGAGGTTACAGGAAATGGATGAATTATTTGGATCAGGATATGTTGTAAAAAAATACAGTAATGCAAGATATCCAGATGTGGGTGCTGGGTATGACTTTTTTTTTTTTTTTTTTACCATTTCTGGTTCATTCC